ATTGAAAGTAATATAATATTAGTTCATGGCTTAAATGTTTTTATTTGTATAAATTTTAAACTTAAATCAGTTTTTTCTAGAAATTTCTTAAATATATTTTAATATTTATCTATAAACTTTCTTTAAAAATGTATTTTTAATATAAAATTAATCAATTAAAGGTTCTCCCACTTGTATTATTATTTTTCCAACTACTCAATCTACTTTTTAATATTTTACGCTTGTCCCTTTTTGTCACCTAACCAGAAAATCCCCGTTTCCACTTCGTCGGGGTCTTCCCCCGAAAACTTTTCCCAGGCCGCTTTCCTTCAAAGCACCCATTGACACTCACCCAGACACTCAAATACTCACTAACAGACTCACATGCGGGCAGAGGCACACATGTTTGGCGGCTTTTTCGCTTTGACATAATCAAAACCAAACCGAACCGAGCCCCAAACCCAAACCGAACAAATGACGCGACGATCCCCGAAAAAAAAAACGAAATATAAATGAAATACTCGAAAGCGGCGGCGTCCACTCAAAGCTAATGACCGACAAAGCGTTTTGTATTATTTTCAATTTCATTTTCACTATACACAAACTACACACCACACCCCCTCTGGATCCCCCCTCCACTAAGCTTATTTCACCCTTTCCCCCTTGGTGACAACATACACATTATTATTATTATTTTTTTTTGTTTCGCCTCTGCGGCCTCGCCACGCTTCGCCTTGCCATGCATTAAATATTATTAAGATAAGGCGCGGGGGTTCGCTTATCAATCAGACGTCAGAGGTACCGACGGGCGAGTCTATGCTATATACTATATAGTAATTCGCAAAGAAGAAGAGCCCAACACGGTTTCTCCATCATGGTTATTGGAACAAACTTGGGGTTTTCTTATAAATATTTGTTTAAGTGAAAACAACAAAAGGTTTTCCTTTTTGAAGGTGTCAAGTGGGAAATGTAAGGAAGTTTGTGAGAAATATTATGTGTGTTTTGAAGAGAGAAGTTACTTAATTATTAAGAATATTAATTAACAGAAATTTATAGTTAAACAAGGTTAATAATAGGCAGTTACCCAAAGGTTTGTTTATTAGCAAAATATATTTAAGAACATTTTAATATTTAATTTCAACAATTGAGAATCAAAACCTTTGATATTTTAGCTTCTCTTTAATCAAATACCTTAATTATCAACCTCTTTTAAAATTTCATTATTTATTTAGTACCTTTTATAGACTTCCTCGCATAATTTGAAGCCTTTAAGCCTTTCCCCCTTTGAGAAATTCCACCAGCTTTTTGTCCCCCTTAACCAGATTCACTTGAATTTACGATGCCCCTTATTTAAGCTTACAATTTACATATGGGCTAGAAGTTATGGCCAGGTGGGTGAAAGGAAACAACAACAACAACAACAAGGCAAAGGCAGGTATTTGCCCATTCAGCTTGGTGCGGCATAATTCCAAGAAGCCGCCTTGGTCGAAAGAGCCAATTGCTAAATCAACACACATACACACACGCAAACCGATGACCAAAACAAAACCTCAAAAGTCATTACATATATCTTTTGAGTAGCCCCAACCCCCGGGGAGGCCAGCAGAAATGCAGAAGCTACGAGCTAACAGCTTTTTATCTTTTGGCACAAGGCGGCGGCACACAGCATTGTTTTGGTTAGCCAGAGGAGAGCAGAGCTCTGCCGAAAAACCAGTTCATCGGGATGGACCAAAAAGCCGAAAACCCATCCAAACCGATCCGATCCGATCCGCCAGCAAAGACCATATATAGGGTCGGTCGCGCTGGCATGTCGAAAGGCGCGCTGCTGAGCGCGGAAACTTCCTGGCTAATATTACGAAAATTGCTTATACCAGGCTATTGCTCCCTCAGCTCCGTCTTGGATCAGCCGAAAAGTGCCAAGTCAAAGTTGGTAGTTGCACAGGCAGACCAAGCCACAGCCAAGTCTCTCTTTCTTTGCAATGCCTTGGCGATACGCCTGTTGCCTTCTACCGTAATTCACAACAACAAGAGTCCACACACCGGCCATAATAATAACAGCAACTACGGCACGGCATCGAGGAAAAGCCAAGGCAAAACTTGTGAAACCCGCAAAAGGGTACAGTGGCTGGAAAAATATTTAAAAGGGTGAACTTTTTATAAAGAAAAACTATCAAGAAAAGTAGAAAATAGTTTGGGATTTTTTAATTGATTTTTCTGCCTGTAATCAATATTTTTAAATATTTTCCTGCTCATTTTATAAAGGTCTAAAGCTTCACATGGTTAATATGATATTATAATTAAAATTTTAGATATATTATATATTTTATTTCTATATTTTTGGCTATGTTAGCTTCCTAAATAAATTAAAATAAAAATTTCTAATGAAATAAGTACCCATAAACTTCGCAAATTAAAAGTAAACCCAATCATAAATAGTTCCAACTTATGCTAAACTAATTCTTAAAAACTTCCTCAACCTTATGCCCTACCTTACCTTAAATACAGCTCAGAGAAAAACCCATCTTTACAGCTTGCCTAGTGAACCGTCCCTCTGTAATCCCCTTAAAATCCAACCGAACCTCAATGACCTCTCCTCAGTTTCAAAAAACTGAGGAGTACCTTTCGATAATCCCCATTCAAACAGGCATCTTTGAACCACTGTGAGCGACGGCCTCTGGTGCCGCGCCTCAAAGCGAAAAGCGCATCTTTTGAAGCGCAGCTTGCCAGCAGTCGCAGTCGCAGCATCAGTTCGGCGCGGTGTGTATCTCAAAGATACAAACAACGTACGCTCACTGGCTGGCTCGCTGGCTGGCTGGCTGGCTGTCTTGATCGCCGTCCGTCTGTCGATCGTCGTTCGGTCTCTAAAACCGCTTTTGTGTAGCCGCTGCCGAGATGTTTGGCATAGTTGGCCTGGCCGCGGAACTGGTTGGATGTGGATGGAGGATGGAGAATGGAGATGGAGCTGGGGATGGGGTTGGGGATGTATCTGCGAGATGGAGTTGGGGAGCCTTGCAACGACTCTGCCGCCTGCCGCTCAGTTATTATTATTTTTGCTTGCGGCGGCGGCTCGACGACTTGCTGCCCGTTGTTATTGTTGTTGTTTTATCAACGTGAGGGTTTTAAAAGGTTTTTGTGTATGAGTCGGTTGTCGGTATCGGTCTTGGCCTCGTAGCAGCTGCTGCTATACACAGAGAAAATAATTTTAAGATAAAGGAAAACCTAAACAAATCGAAGCTAAAATATGTAATTTCAAAGAAAATTCCTTTATTTAAAATTGATTAAAATGTATCTATGATATTTTTAATATTTCTTTATTTACTTGTTATTATTTTATTAATATATAAACCCATTTTTCTGTGTGTACTGGGCCAACTCCACCTTCAATGCGGCATCGACTTGGCTTTGGTTTTACCTGCAACAGGTAAGAAATGTTCGTACGTTGTTTTTCAACGGCGTCGGCATTTCAATTCGCTTTATTTTCCTCTTTTTTTTTTTTCTCTCTTTTATTTTTTTCTTGTGTTTGTGGCCCTCGGTCTCTTCCCGTTTGTTGTTGTGTAGTATTTCTCTGCTGGCTGCTTTCTTTGAAGTTGCATACTTCGGTGTGCCTTTGGAGGTTTCCTTTGAATTCCCCCCCTGCATCTGCCAGCAATTAGTGTACGGGGCTTGTTGTCCTGCAAAAGGGTTCAAAGTGTTGGCCTGGCATTTAATTGGCGCAGACCAATTGCCAGCCCAAGATGATAAGGAAGAACAAGAGGAAATCTCTCTCTCCCCCAGAATATTTCCAATGAATTTGTGGACAGAAGGGCAGTAAAAAAAAATGGAAAAGAAGAAACGGAGAACATTGATTGATTGATGTTCCTTCAGCGATTCGGACATCAACGTCGCTCGTTTGGCAGAAAGGTCGTCCGATATTCCATTTCCAAGTCCAATTCCGATGGCAATCCCACTTCGAAAACGGAATCAGGGGGGGGAGAGTAGAGTCCAGGAGTCGGGTTCTTGTTTATTTACGTTTATGATATGGCTATGCCGTTACTAAGGAGGCGATCTTAGGGGCAGCAGCAGCAGCGGCATCAGGAGCCTCAGCGAGACGTTCTATTGATCACGATCCGACGATCCCTTTCCGACTCGATCGATTTCCCAAAAAAAAAAAATTCTATTTATTTTCCATGCGTCGTTTTCTTTTGATGTTCCACTGCCTGTGTTTTTCTCCGTTCTCTCTCTCGATTTTCGTTCTATTTTTGTGTGTCGTTTTCCTACCACTTCCATTTTCCCCATTCCAAAGACCACAAGCGAACGGCTGTGTATCTTCGAGATAAAAATGCAGCCGGACTGGGACTGAGACTGGGATTGCCTACATTTTATTTTCAACCTATTGTTGTTTGGCGTAATTATTGGAAAAGGATGTGGGAGAAGCCCTTGACTCAATGAATTCTGAATAGCAGATGGACCCTGGAGTGTGTGTGTGTGTATGTTGTGAGCAATTGCTTTTTGGGGGAAGAAAGACGATAATATTTTAGATCTTCGGTCTAGATATGTACAGACTTAGTTGCAGGTTAATGGGAAATAATTATTTCGATTTTTTTTAGATTATTTTATGTTTAGTTTTTAGGACAATAATAACAATTATTTGGAGGATAAAAAGGAATTATTATCTGGGAATTATTCTACAAACATTTTAGGAAGAATTTTAAACATTTTCAAGTACACAGTTCCTTATTAAGAAATCCCCTTAACCTCCCTAATGACCCATATCTCTTCATCGCTCTGTAATTAATACCCCATCTTTAAGAGATATCTTTTGCTCGACTTCAAGGGAATTCCTTCACCTCACTTATTTGGTCTTTCAATTTAATTTACTTAAACTCCACAGGGGAATGGCTAAAACAAATTGCTTCCTTGAAATGCTATCGCCTGGCCAGTCCAATGGCCAAAACTTTTGGCACTCCCCAAGAGCATTTAACATCCATCTCCACCGTATCTGTTGGCAACTATCTGGAAATTCACTAAACAAGTTCGCTTACCTGAGAATTGTTTGTAGCCGCCGAGAATTTTATGCTTCCACCATTTGACAATGTTGCCCGCCATCTCTGCGCGAATATATATACCCTATATATATATAAATATATATATATATATATATAGATGTATGTATGGCTTGTTGGCTGGTTAGCTGGATGCAGTTACTTGACGGTGAGTGTCTTGAATTTTTCGGCTGCTTCCTTGTTTTTATTTATTTCTGGAGGTGGCGGCTTGGTTGGGCCGTGAATTTACGAGTCCTGCGAGAAGGAGGAGACCTGCTGCAGCAGCCCAAAATGTTTTACGGCCTTTGTGTGTGTGTGTGTCGCTCCCTTGGCGGTGAATATATATCCTTTTGTGTAAGGATCTAAGGACTGAGACTAATATACTCGCAGGCTGGCAGGTAGGGAACGAAACTCCTGGGCGACCTTAATTTGTATCTGGTATTATTTTCGACTGTGCGGGTGGCAGTCAGTCGTAAAAGTTTTTACAGCTCCGCCGGTGTGCTGCATTTTAGTTTAATTTGCGCATATTGAGCGCTAGGGTAGGGTATAGTATGTGTGTTTGTTGGTTTGTGTATCTTGCGGATACTACTCTCCTCTGCCCGCTGCGCGCGTAATTTTAATTGTAAAACATTTTCGCCGACTGCCGGGACTCGATTTGTTTTGTTGTCTTCGCTATTATTTTTCTTTTATTGTTGCGACGTAAATAACTTGGCGTATATAAACAACAACAAAATTCAACCAACGAACTGCAAAAAGGCAAAACACGATTTATTTCCAAAACGATTTGCGCGACGACGACGTCAGTTTTTCGGGGGGAGGTTGGCGGCGGCGACGGCGACAGCGACGGCGGCGTACCGGTTGTTTTTGTTATTGTTGTGCGGCGGGGGCGGTTTTTCGTTTTTGGTTTTTACTTTTAACACTTGATTCTTCTCTCACATTCGTATCTCACGGATACATTTTCCACTAGCATTTTCAAATATAAATTTTCCCATTTATTTTAAGGGTTAAACTTCACTTTAGTCAGCGGTCAGTAGTTGTTGTTTTGCTGGTACCAAAACTACGCGTATCTTTTAGATACTTCTCGATGTATCTCGGCGCTGTATCTGCACGTCTGTTCGAAATGACGGACGAAAACAATCTGAATCTGAAAACTCGTCGACTTCGTAAGTGGTTGAAACTTCGAAACATTCGAACGAGGCTCTCTGTAGGGCTCTCTTTTGCACACGTTTCTCTCTCGTTTCACGCTCTTAGTTCGAATTTCGAACACGTTGTGGCAGTGTTTATATGAAATTTAGTGGTTCAGTTAGTTTTCTCTCAGTGTTGACCTATGTTTTTCGGAAGAGACAGCTGTAAGCATACAACAGTTGCGGTTTTGTTTACTTAAGAGCATTTTCGAAGAGCGATTGATGCTCTTTGGGGCTGTGGCAGTGGTTTTTATAGTATTAATCGCGGGTATGATGGAATTAGCAGGCGTTTTGCCAAGGACTTTACAAAGATATTTCAAAAAAAAACTAAGGTAGATGTTAGATTTTAAGTAAGAGATTAATTTTTTGGTGGGAAAAAGAAAGCTTAAGTACTATAAGATATTGTATCTTATTTTGAAATTCAACGAGAATTATATTATATAAAAATGGATAATAATAATATACATTTTAAAAAGTACGGTATTATTTTATATAATGCAAATCCTTTGCAAAAATAACAATTAAAATTCTAACATTGTTGTAGTAATTTAAATTACAATTAAAATTGTAACATTGTTGTGATAAATTAAACCTTTTCAATCATGCTCTCAATGTTCTTGAAATTGCTTACAAAAACCCATTAAACGAGCAACATTTCTCCAATTGCGGCTATTGCCACGCCTCGAAAAGGCAAAAGCTTTCTTTTTATGTTTTATTTTGCCTTTGCACCTTACCTGTCTCTGTCCTTACCTGTCCGATTTCGATCCGCTGCCCCCCTTTTCGACAATTTTTGATTATACACATGTATGGATAATACCCGGTTTTAATTTGGCTCTATGCATAGCGGCAGCACAAAAAAATTTTGATTGTTTTTAAATTTGAGCTGCCGCTGCCCCCATTCCACCCTTTCGGTTCGCAGAAGAAGAAGCCGCCTGCTGAGCTCGAACATCGGGGCAATTACCTCCACCAGCCAGCAACCAAAAGTAAAAAAAAAAAAAAAACGAGTAACCCCAAACCCAAACTCAAAACCCGCCGATAATAACAGAGCAAGGAGAATCCTGAATTACGCTGCAGAGACCAGACCAGAGCCAGGCAAGATCGGGGCACAAAAAAAAAAAAAAAAAAAATACAAACGAGAAACAAAAAAAATGCAAAGCTCTTTTCATTCTCCGGCGATCAAAAGCAAGTGGAAGGAACCCGCGGAGTGAGATCGTTTCGGTTTTAACCCTTTATGGAAGAAGAGGTTCTTTGGAAAAAAAATGAATAAAAAATAGGATAATTACTAATTATTCTAAATATAATATCCACAAGCTCAGGTAGACTTAAAACTTATTTTATAAAGTTAACGAAAATGGATTTAATTATTGAATTAAGGAGAGTTTAAAATAGTACTTCATATAAAACCTAAAAAAAAAATAGATTACAAAATGTTATATCTAAAAAAAAGAATAAATATACACTGAACTAGGTACCTCAACAATTGCATTGCATACTTTTAGACGTCCTTTTAAATGTTTTATAAACCTTAGTAATTTCATGAGCTAAAATAATTATATTTTTTATATTGAAAGTTTAGATTTATTAATAATATTCTTATTCAACTTATAGCTTATAGCTAGCCACTATTAATAATATTTCTCAAAATCCCGTATTAAATATGAGGTATCCCCATTCACACCCAAGAATTAAAATTAAAGCTAATGCAATGTTAATGGGTTAACCCCTGAAGCCCTCGGGGGTCTACAGGCTTTCGCACCGTAAAACGTTTTCGGCTTTTCGGTATAATGGCGCTGTAATTGAAGAAGAACACGCGATCGAAGCGTAGAAGCTATAGACGGTGTAGGGGGGCAGGGAAGCTACAAAGGCGGCTAAGGGAACCTCCTTCTTCTAACAGAAGGGTTTCAGGGCTCACCGTCTTCCCTGTTCTTCATCTTCATCTTCTCCTTGGGTCTTGTGCATTTCGGAACCCTCTTTTGTTTGGGCCTTCGTCATCATCCATTGATCCATCGTCTTAATTTCACGGGGCCCGTTGTCTTCCTTTCTCCCCTTGCATATCGGATGCGGGCCCCTGATTGATGTCGGGATCTGTCCGCCCTTCTCCCCTCCCGATATTGATTTATGTTTTCTCCGGTTTCGCAGGACAACCCCTGCTCCTGGTCCTGCTTCTGCTGCTCCTGCACTTTGTTCAGCTGAAATTCGCACAACATTTTGCAGCTTTTCCGTTTGACAAAAGTCGTTTGCCGATGTACGCAGGGGCTGACTGCAAATGTAATTACCCAAAATCGAGTGGAACATGTCGGGCCTCCCTGGACCCTGACGGTGGGCGTCGATGGTCAGAGTCGCCGCCTGTGTCCATCCGGCTTTATATAGGGTTTTTGACATTTGCCCCGACCAACTGACGGACCGACGACTGACAGCCATGGCAACTGTCGGCTGTAATTGACAAGGAAGCCGTTGCTGGATTCGCTCCGTGTCATTTTGTCCCTATCTTCACACATATTGGCAATGCTGATGAGTTTTTGAAGGGTTAGATGAGTTTAATCGAGCTCCACGGATGTGTGTGACAGAGTGTGTGTGTGTGTGCTGTGCTTGTTTACATTAGAAGTTGATTAGGTTAGAGGGGGTCATTTTAGCTACAGGAGATAAACATAATTGCCTTGTCTCGAGCGCCTATAAATGGGAGAATTTTGTATATTTTCCCAGCAAGCATACTAATCGGAAAACTAATAGCATTAGTTGGGTTTTTTAAGTGTTTATAAAATTATATTGAATAAAATGGTAATGCAAAAATTTTTATAGAAAGTAAAAACAATGAAAATTGTTAAAAGCCATATATAAATATGTAAAATATATGTATAAAAATACCTATTCATAAATCCAACATAATATCTCAAAAATAAACAGCCTTTACTTAATTATTTACCTTTAAAGCATAGTAATTTCTCTTCCCTCATCCATTTTCCACTATAAATTCTATAGGTTCCCAGAACTAACCAAAGAAAATCTCAATTTAATTCAGGAATAATACAAACCAATTGATTATTTTTCTTGCCCAAATACCATTAAAAGTTCAACAACAACAGCAGGGCGATGAGTTGCTTCCATTTTCCTCCAAAATATTTGTACTAAATTATGGGGCTAACATAAATTAAGCACCCAGATACATTTCCAACTTGCGTCACACGGAAAACAGATCGTTGGATCGCTGGTAGGACTCATTAAAACATAAATTTTTCGATGATCAGAGCTCCACTCAAAGTTTCAAAATTATTTTTTTGGAAGTCATAAACACACATACGAAAATCACATAAAAATAAAAATGATATGTATGTATATGGGAGGGGGTCATGTACATGGTGAATCTATTAAATAAATTAACTTTGTTGTAAGTGCTGGCCATAAATATTTATATTTTATACGTTTGTCGTAAAATTCAAATGAAGTTGTCCCTTGATGATGATGGTCGCTCGCTGGCTCGATGTGTGGGTTGATGGCTTTGGACGCGTTTATAAACAAATTTCCAAAGCAATTATGAATTGTAGTTTTTGGCATTCATCGTAGCCGTCGTCTGACTGACAGGAAATTATATTGTAAGGCCATAAAGCTGACAGGTCCGGAGAACCAAATGAGCCCCCGAAGAGATCTTCAGACCGTCCCTTCGTAACATGTGCAACATGCCGTTTGAAGTCCCCACCTCGCTGCTCGAATGACTTTTACCCAGAAGTCGTTAAAAAAAAAAAACTGAAGGAAAAACGACGAAAATTTCCAATTAATTTTGATAAACGCGGGCCCACAACGAACTACGAAGAGATGCATATATTGGAAAATTCGTTTGCCGGAAATTGTAACTGTTTATTGATTGGGAAAGCAAGAGGAAAAGGGGGAAAGCAACCAATTGTTGCTTATTAGGCCGAAATCATTAAAAATCTATCCAAGCAGCCACAATATTTTCTTTTTTTTTTTTTGTCTTCACAATGAAGCCATTTCAATTTCAATCAGCCGTTTTTATGACCGCTTTTAGGCGCTTTTTTGCCTGGACTTTTACGATTTTACATTTACAAGACTCCAGGCCAGACCCAGCCATCGATATGTCCATCAAACGATTAGGCCCGGCATGTTTCTATAGAAGGAGTGTGTCTGTGGGGCTTAATGACCAGATTAATGATGCCAAAAACATGATGGGAAGCGATAGATTAAATGCCAGCTATAAAAACGAATTAAGTGTGGGCTGCCAGTGGGTGGAAAGAGGTGATTTTTGGGAATTATAGTACTAAAGTTGATCAAAGAACACGTCTTTGCAGCTTCAGGTATAGAAATATCTTAAATATCTGGAGTTAATATCTATCTAAAATGTCATTTCTGAGAAGTGAACAGGAGGAATGTTTAAAGGAATATATTTAGAACAATTTTATTGTTACCTGGGGATGATGACCAAGAATGCTGCTTCTCTTTGGCAATAAGATGTTTCTGTTACCAAAAATATTTGATTTTTAATGATTATCTAATAAAATTGCTGATTTATAAAATATAAAAATGTTATATTTATATATTCTAAAAATATAATAAATGCTATCCATCGTTGTTTGAAATTTATGGTCCCCAAAAACTATGGAAATATGCCAAAATAAATAAGATCACATATGTAAATATATAAAAAATAATCTATAAAGACTTTATAATAAATCATGTCTTATTTTTAATTGATTTTTAAAATTTTTCAATGAGATTCCTACAAATAAAAATATTTGAAATACCAATAAAAATGTTTTTAAATTTATAAATAAACTATTTTATTAAGAAAACACTTTTAAATTAACCGAAATCAACAAAAAGGAACTTATTTCTTTCTTAACATTAATTTATATATTTTTATTTAATTACTATATTAATTTTAATATTTATATTTAATTACTATAATTCATTAAAAAATATTTTTTTTAGAAATTAATTATAATAATTCACTTAACAAATATTTCTCTATGCAATCTCATGCGATTAGCTCACGCCTCTCGGAATCTTAATTGAAAAATTTACTTGTGGAAATATTGAACAAAATAAATAACAAAATGATCAAATCTTGCAACACACAGAATGCCTTGAAGTGGAAAATATCTTGGTGGCAGCAAAAGAAATAATAATTTATGCGTTTTCATTTATTTTTCCACACAAACACACATCTACAGTTTTTGTCCAAAATAAAGTTTTCCATTTATTCCGCGCTCCACTCGTAAATTACAGACAGCTGCCAGAGGGGTGGTTAGGGGGCAGTGTGAGGTTCCATTCGTTTTGGGGCCAAGCGAAAAATAAATATAATTTTTTTAAGTGCCGCCCAGCAGAAAAAAAAACAGCATCTATGTATGTAGTATTTCCCCCCAGCTCGTATCTTGCATTATCTACGCTGCCGTAACTGATAATGATCAACTGCCGGCCGACTCGACGCCTCAGTTGCCGCCTTTTTTTCTTTAATATGTATATATATATATATATATATATATATGTATTTTTTGTTCCTTACTTCGAGTTGGTGTGTTTTTTTTTTTTCCTCTGTCTTTTGTTGCCTTTTAATTAAACGTTCAAGCCGCAAGCGGAGCTCAAGTCGCTGGCGCGGAGTCGTGCATCGGCTGTGGCGGCTGGCTCTTTGAGCGGAGAACCCTCACCGAATCCCCATAGAGGTTGCCGCCTCATTCAGTCATTCATGCCGTCATTGCTTCATTATCCATGCGCACATCACTCAGCGCACACTCTGCATATACACTCGGAGGGCACTCCATGCCAGGTTCCATTTCCAGACATCGACCCATCCCAGTATCCATATGCATATATCCATATTCTCCGGCCGATCTGTGGGCCCCTGCTCCGGAAGGCAAATCAATTTTCTGCTGCATTTTATCTGCTCTCAAAGCATTTCATTCGTGATTTTATTATTTTCTAAAATATAATTTATTTTTTAATGAATTAAGAGCAAATTTTAATAATGTATATTTGAATATTGATTTTTTGGGCAATGATGAGATGGAAAATTGAGTAAAATGAAAATAGGACTGAGAAGATCTTGATTGTTAATACATTTTTGGATTTACTATATAATTTTTTATATAATTTATATCATTTATATATATAAATTGATTTATTTTTATATTTTATAATTACAAATTTATATATTTTCTATATAAAATCATATATAATCATTAATATATATATATCAATTTTTTTATATTTTATATATTTTCTTTTTTTAACTTTTACATATTTTAAACTCTCTCAAAAAATTCCCCTTTTTATTGAAATTTTCCCCAAAACGTCAAGCCATCTGTTAAAGTCAATATTCAAGCTGATTTATTGTCTCACCAAATATGACATCTTGCCGAAATATACTTCTGGAAATTGCATTATTAAAATACTCAACTCAGCTAGTGTTTGGTTTTAATTAAATTCCCATGTGGCTTTGGCTGCTCCAAATGCAATTATGCGCTGGCAGCTGTAAATCTCAGACACGCACTTCCACCGGCTGAATGGGTTAGAATCACACACTCCTACACACCCACCATCGCACCCTTTCACTCATATGTTAATGGTTTTATGCGTCACTTGCATCCTGGCAGTCCGCCTCCACATTTTCCCAGCTGCGTCGTGGGCTGCAACGTCTCTCGCCCCGTCTTCCGTCTGCAGACGCAGTTCCTCCATGGACAATATGGTGGCTGCCTTGCGGTTCTCTGATTTATAACATTGTTTACACGGCCTGCCAAAAAGTTTGATTTACTGGCCATTGGACTGGTGGCCACACGTGGTCCCATTTGATTGCCATAACTCATACGACGTGTTGGCCAAGGAAAAGGACTCACGCAGGCGCAGTGTGAAATTGGTCGATGGTAAGTAAAAACATTCAACTTTCTAAGAAAACTAAAGTTGAGTAAAGTGAAACTAATGGGATTTTAAATATTTTAATAAATTGGTAAAACATTTTTTGTTAAATTTACATTTAAATATTTTAAAATATTTAAACCTCAACAATATCCACCATAACTTGTGTGATGTCCTGCCACTTTGGATTCCCAGCAATTATTTGAAACATGTAGGAACCAGTGGGAAAAGGAGTTTTTTCTAACATTCCATCATTCAGAATCATCTTTGATACAATTATATCATTCTAAAAATAATTATTCCTTTTAAAAATATTTTAAAATTCTATGTAAAGTACTTACATTATAAGGACAACTGTGATTTAAATTACTGAATTTAGAAATTGCTTCGTGAGCTATTTTAAACCAGGGAAATCGTGTCTTATGGAGAATAAAATCACAAAAATCCACTGTGACATTATAGAGAAAAGGCCTATACCCACTGAACTTGCGATGTAAACTTAGGTTACCCTGAAATATACATTATTTTTAAAGAGTTTTGGTTTTAATTTTATTTATACATACAATTACTTTAGTTACTGGCAACTGATGAACTTTCACATACACATAAATACCGACTTTTCCGCGTCCCAGCAACTTTAATTCACATTGATTAAAAGCACAGAAGGTTTTATCATAACACTTGCATTTTATGTTGGTGACTTTAAACAAACATTCAGAGACTTTGATCAAGTGAACTGCAAGTAAAACTAATGCTATATTTATTCCAAACGTTTTATTCATTTTACGAACTGATTTCAACTGAAAATGGGGCTTTAAACTTTGCTTATTTATTTTGACTTGACCGCGTAATTAGTTTTTTTTTTATTTGTAATAGATAAATAATTATTTAAATTTTGTTGCTCAGTCATCTGTTTGAAACATATTTAAAATCGATATAGGTAACCGATTACAAACCGATTACCTTCTGGCAAAACTATATATGCTTTCAATTTAATTGTATATTTTACTATTTTATTTATTTTTTTAAAATTATTTATTTATTATTTATTATTTATTTTACACCTCTACGATATCCACCATAACTTGAGTGATGCCTTGCCACTCCGGAGTGCCAGCAATTAATTGATACATGTAGGAACCAGTAGGAAAAGGGGTTTTTTCTAGCATTCCATCATTTAGAACCATCTTTGAAACAATTAAGTCATGCTAAAAAAATGTAATCCTTACAAATATATATCACAATTCTGTATAAAATACTCACATTATACGGACAACTGTGATTTACATTGCTAAATTTAATCATGGTATCGTGAACTATTTTAAACCAGGGAAATCGTGCCTTATTGTGCATAAAATCACAAAAATCCACTGTGACATTGTACAAGAAAGGTCTATAGCCACTGAACTTGCGATGCAAACTTAGGTTAACCTGAAATATACATTATTTCTAGAGAGTGTTGGTTTCATTTGTCATTTGTACATACACGGACTTTGGTAATTGGCAGCTGATGAACTTTCACATACAAAAAGATACCGACTTTTCCCCGTCCCAGCAACTTTAATTCACACTGATCAAAATTACAAAAGGACTTGTCGTAGCATTTACATTTTATGTTGGTGACTTTAAACAAACATTCAGAGACTTTGATCAAATGAACTGCAAGTAAAACTAACGCGATATTTATTCCAGAGGTTTTATTCATTTTACAACTTGATTATAACTAAATTTTGATTTTCCAGCTTTGCCCATTTATTTAGAATTTTGTAATTAGTGTAATTTGTTTCTTTGCCTAATGTATAAATAATTATTTTAGTTTTGTTTAGTCATTTGAATTGAGAACAAATAAATCGATGCTGATAACCGATAAATAAAACAAACCTGGCAACACTTTTAATATATTGACTTTAAAAAATTTATAAAAATATATAAAATATACTATTTTATTTTATTTTTGTAATATATTATTATATTTAATAAATTAAATAAAATAATTCTTAAACCTCTACGATATCCACCATAACTTGCGTGATGCCCTGCCACTCCGGAGTGCCAGCAATGACTTGAAGCATATAGGATCCAGTTGGAAAGGGCGTTTTCTGTAGCATTCCATCATTGAGAATCATTCCCGATACAATTATGTCATGCTAAAAATTGTTTAAAGTGTATTTATTATTTAAAAAAAAATTAAAATTTTATATAAACAACTCACATTATAGGGACAACTGTGATTTAGGTTGCTAAACTTTGAAAGCGCTTCGTGGCCGATTTTCAACCAGGGATATCGTGCCTTATGGTGATAAAAATCACAAAAATCCACTGTGATATTATACAAAAAAGGTCTATAGCCACTGAACTTTCGATACAGACTTATGTTGACCTAAAATAAAATATATTATGATAAAAGCAATTAAGTTGTTATAGATGTGTGACATACTAGGACTTTATTTATTGGCAACTGATGGACTTTCACATACACATAAATACCAACTTTTCCCCGTCCCAGTAACTTTAATTCACACTGATTAAAAGCACAGAAGGTTTTGTCATAACATTTACATTTTATGTTGGTGACTTTAAACAAACATTCAGAGACTTTGATCAAATGAACTGCAAGTAAAATTAATGCAATGTTTTTTCCAATCGTTTTATTCATTTTAGGATCGTTTTTCAACTGGAAATTGATTTTCCCAGTTTTTCCTATTTATTTCGATTTTTAAAGCGTATAATTCGTGTTTTTGTCTAATAGATATATAATTGTTTTAGTTATTTGCAGTCATTTGAGTCAAATATAATTGAAATCTCTATAGGTTTATGATCTAATCTATAAATAAAAAAAATACAAAAAAATATTTATGTTACTTTAGCTGCAATTTATAGTTAAATAAATTGTTTAAAAATCTCTTTATATATTTTTTACATTATAAATAAATGTTATATTATATTCCAACTCCTTTTAATATTTATCTCAAAATTATCAAAGCCATGCCGCTTGGTTTCCCTCTGATTACCCATGCATTTCCCATAAAACTAACTGTTCTCGCTGCATCCGCCAGCAAGACCATGGCGATGATGATGATGATGAAGTTGATGCTTGATTAGCTGGACAGGCTGACCCCAACCACCACCTCCTCCTCCTCCTGTTGCAAGTGAGTACTCCTCCTCCTCCCTCCGCGGCGGGCATGTGTGTGTGTGTGCATGTTCATTTGAGCTTGGCCCGCAGGCGGTGCCACACATCGCACACCTTTTGATGTTGCGCCGACATCTCAGCCCAGAGTCGAACCTCTACGGACAGCTCAGCCAAGTCGAAAGCCACCCGTGCGAAAAAAAAAGTGAGATATAAAATCAAGCGAAAGGCTAAGTCGAGGTACAAATATACCCTAGCTTTAAATCAGGAGAACAGAAAAGGGTAGTTATTTATTTCTTGATTTTTTTTTATAGACACCTCTTCTTTAGATATTTTTGTAAATTACAAAACTATTCTTTTTATTTAGATATAAGATCCTATGGCTTATAACCTCGGGTAGAGTATATAAAAAGATAAAACCAGCATCGCCTGTCCGGATGCTGTCGCTTTGCCGCTCTTATCAACTTGTCCAAAAGCTTTTGCGCTCGTTCAAATCAATTTGAAGCGGTTGGCATCGGCATCTTGAGGCAAAGTTAAGGCCAGGAAAGCGGGAGGCATCCGGCATCAGGCATCAGGCGGTTCCAGCCACACACATCGCAGCTTTGAGGCTCTGCGCATGCGCGGCAGATTCGATGGTGGGCCGGACTGACACAAAGAGGGCGCTATTGCTGCCCCTCCCCTTTGAGCGGCCTTCAGCTTTATTTTATTTTTCTTTTTGGTTTTTTTGTGTTTCGGCCAGCTGTTGTCGGCTTTTTGCCGGTCCGCTGATTCGGCTTTGTTCTTTGCCGTCAGCGTTTAATGGTTGATTTTGTTCAGTCAACTTTTTGCCGCTTTTCGGTTTTTTGTAGTTTTTGCGGTTTGTTTGCTTGATTTTCCTCTTTTTTTTATTAAATTATTATTTACTTTTATTACAAAGCGCGACGGCGGCATGGCAAATTGATGCGATATTTCAATTTGTGACGGCAACAAAGCGAATTATTGTGTGTGGAAATAAATATATCAATGGTGCCGCTGCTGCTGCGCCTACACTTGAACTTCAAAGCGCTTTCCCAGCACCAGCCTCTAGCCCCAACCCTTTGCTAATAAAATTTCTTCGGTACCAAAAATAAAACTCAACCAGCGAGGACCATGAAAAATGCTCGACTTCAAAGCAAATTCAAGGCAAATCGGGCATCGGGGGGCGCAAGGGAGATCTCTCGCATAAACAAAAGGCAATTGAAATGCTTCTAAAAAGAGATTTTTGCTGTTTTGTATATTTGCTGCCACTTAAGTTGGTAGACCCTGCCAACCCTCTGCTGTCGCTGTCGCTCTGCCTTTGACTCGGCCGGCTCCCTCCTTCGATCCGGCGATTTGTTTTGCCCGTCACTTTTTAATTGTTGTCAACCAACCCACACAGGGCGACTAAGAGCAGGAGGGCCAAGCAAGAAGAGAGATGTGCACTGGAAGAAAAAATTAGGTTTAAATAAGCTTGAAATTATAAAAGACTTAAAATTTAAATACAAATTTAATTAAGATAATTAAAGAGCATTTCTGTGTCAATAAAATTCAAAGTCAAATGCCATTCTTTCTTAATAAATAAACATTTATGAAAGTATTTTTTTATATTTCTAAAAGTTTATAATTTATATTTTTAACGCATACTTGTTTTTACCTCTTAAATATTCTTAATAAATTTATATAAATTTATTTTAGATGCAACTTAATATACAAAAAAATGTAAATTTTGAAAATTAAAACTTGGAAAAGAAAAACTCTCAAAATAATAATTAAATTAATAAATTGACCAAAAATATCGCACTCGAAATAATATCAAAAATATCTTAAGCTTTGAAGTATTGAAATTAAATTAATTAAATTTAATTTATTTTTAAATATTGGATACCTTCTTATTTCAGTTTTATATATTTTTAACATCTTCAGAAGTAACATTTTTACGTTTGCTTTCTGCAACTTAATATTGAAACTTTTTAGGGCTGTTAATTACCTTCTCATAAAAAACCCATATATTTTTCACCGTGTAAAGATGAAGCATTGGACATGGAACAGGCCGCACCCAAGTCGGGCCACATGAAAAAGACATCAAAGCAAATCTTGACAAGCGAATATGCCTCTTATCTGCATCTAGCCAAGCGGTGTGAGCCAGTGACTCTGGGATGGGGAATATGGAGGCAGGACATTAAGGAGGAGCCATGCCAAAGACACACACACATACACTCACATGCAGGCTGCAGGAAGTGCCTTCCGTTCTGGTCTGTTTCTGGTCTCCTCCTTGTGGGATACATTTCCTGCCGAGCCACACCCCTTCCGCCCCCAACACACTCGAAGCAACATGCAGTCCTGCTTGGATGCATTTTAAAGTTGAAAACAAAAGCAACAAACACCCATAAAACCATATACGACAGCCACAATAAAGTTGTGCCCCAAAAAAAAAAGAGACTAAAAGTGGAGCTTGGGACAGGGTTTTTCGGTCAGCAGAATTGGACTTTTGGTACTCAAATAAGGGACATGAGAGGACTTGTTTGGTCAAAAGTTTTCAAATTTAACAAACATACGTGTTTCGAGTTGCCAAGGGAATAATAAATATGAATATCTAAACAAGTGCATCCTTGTGCTTTTAATTATGTATTTACGGGACTTTTGTGATGACAAAGCCTTTATAGATTTGTAACTTAAGTTTGTTTGAAGAAGTAATTTAATTTAAATTTAAAAAAATACGGCGATGTAAATTTATTTATTTGGAGTTGGTGAAGTTCCTTTATTATTTAATAAGATCAATTTAAATTCTCTATAAATTATACCTTTAGAAATACAAAACAAAAAATTTTAAAAGCCAAAGAAAAATACATTTTCGATACAACATTTTAAAGTAAAAATATTTTTAACTGTGTCATACACTTAAATTATTAGTTTTATTATTCAAAATTGCAGCAGATCTTATATTTTTCTATTGATTTCCTTAACATTTATTATCCTTCATTTTATTCTGTAAATTTAATTTAACAAAGATATATGTATTAAATTTGTTTTAAATTGTTTCAAAAACTTGGCTTTCATTTCACAGCTTTTAATAAACATTGATTCCTCTTATAAAGCTCTCTTTCTGCCTCCGTCTTAACTTCAATATCGAAAAGCTTCTTCTTTCTCCCAATTTATCCTGTCCCAATACTCCCTACTTACTTATTCCGATGTTGTTTTTCCTTTCTGCTGCAACAGCTGCCACATTTTGTTTCCTTTTTTTCAGCTGCTGCTGCTGCTGTTGCTGTTGACGTTTATGCAAATTGTGTTGTTATTTTTTGTGTGTCAACCGAAAAAACAAGAACTAAAAACAGAGAAATCTGAAAAAGCCTCTGCTCGGACCTCCGCTCGACTCCTCCCGAATCGATAAATGCAAATTCGTGCAAACGAAACCTGGAACGGTATGCCTCTTGTCACAAGAACTTTGACTACCAAGGATTTTCCTTTACATCTAATTTAATTTTTGAATTATGAATTTAAATAGAAGAATGCAGCGAAGGAGAATTGTGAGGACATCTAAATCATTCGGCCAGTGCTCCATTTACATCGCTGGCAAACTTTGTCCTGTCCCCCGGTTGCGTAACTCGAAAGTAATTAAATTGAAACAGAGTGCAAAATGCACACAAAAGCCGGAAACTCCATGTAAGGGGGAGGTGCTGATGAGGGGCGTGGCATATGCTCATGTTTGTGGGGATCACTGAGACTAAAAGGAGGGGAAAATATGGAAAATAAAGAATAAGATCTATTTTAAAATAAATATTTAAGTGTATACATTAAAGAATGATGTTTAAATTTATATTTATATATTTTGTGTTACTAACAATTTAAAGTTTGATTTATTTTAAATATTTAATGAACTAAAAGAGCTTTAAAATTTTTTAAAAATATTTTATTTTCAAATCATGATGAATATTTTTTAATGATTTGATTTTCTTAAACCAATTTACCTTTCCCTCGACTTTGATAAGTTTTTTCTTTAAAAAAAAATTGCCTTAAGAGTCTATAAGTATTTTATAAAATAATAAAATAAACTAAATAAACCTAAAAACCAATCTATTTCCATTTATTCTCTTTGTGCATTGCGTGTGGGATTTGCCATGGCAAAAGTCAAGTGTGTTCCCAACACAAAAGTGTTGAAAATACCGAGGGGGAGGGAAATGGGGCGAGCAAAGCAACTGGCAGCATGTTGACAGCACACAGCAGCAGCACCCTCTTTCCATACCCAACCCTCCGTTGGGCCGGCACAAAGTTATAGTTATGATGATTGTTGATTTAGAGTTTTTAGTTTTTAGGTTGCCAGATGGGCCAAGGAGGGATTTGTGTAGCGTGCAATTAATTTTGTAGCCCCCCAACTTCAAAGGAGCTGAAAAGGAGCCGACGCCGCCCGTGGACAGATGATGATGATGACAACAACTTGGATGCTCCGTCAATGGGGGCCTTTGAAGCGATGGTCTCTCCCCCATGGATCTCCATGGATCCCCATGGGCCATCGCATAGACAGAGAGAGACCCCGTGACAGCAGTGCTAATGGGGGAGATGGAGAGACAGTGAGATGAGAGAACGGGGAAGCCCCTGTGCCGACCAAATCCAATTCGAACTCTTTCTGTTCCCATGGCCGTAACCCGAGACCTCGGAATGTCACAAATTCTTGTTGTACACTGATAGAAAATGGTTTTAAAATGTAATAAATTACATTAAACGAAGAAAAAGTTAATTTTGTTTGCAGATTTTTTATTTATTTATAGTTTATATTATATTTATATATATTAAGCCATCTTTTTTGTTTAATATTCCCTACAAGATTTTTGAATTTTAAGCAATATCACCAGGCCAACCGATTTAGACAAGCGATTTTTCTTGTATATTGAGCAATATAAAAACGTTAATAAACATATTTTTAATTTAAACTTATTCATTAAAAGTCTTTTAAAAGTTTGTAAAGGTAATTTATATAACTGGAGATAGACTAGGATATATTTTATAAAAATTATAAGCTTATTTTAAATATTTAAATGAGAAAAATATAAAAAAAAACAAGAAAGGAAGCTAACTTCGGCACGCCGAAGCTTGTATACCCTTGCAGATTGGTTTTCATATTTATATTATAAATTAGAATGCCGAAAACAGACACTAAACAGAGTTTTATAACATTTTACCTATACTTATTATGTTTACAGTTTGACAGTTACAGTTTTACATTCCCAACTTTATATATTTTATACATTTACCGATCGCTTCTATGGCAGCTATAAGATATAGTTGTCCGATTTTTATGAAATTTATACCAAAATTCTATAATAATAAGTAAAGCTTATATCTTATATATCAGAGTAGATAAAAAAACCTTAATAAACAACGAAGTTATAATTTTTTCTATTACTTTCCCTATCGTTCCTATGGCAGCTATAAGATATAGTCGTTCGATTTTCATAAAATTTTTACCAAAATTTTGGAATAATAAAAAAAGGCTATATCCCAAAAAAGGTGGAATAATATTGGAAAACAGCCAAGTTATAATTTTTTTTCCAAAAATGTATCGAACATTTGTATGGCAGCTATATGATATAGTCGTCCGATCCGGCCCGTTCCGACATATATAGCAGTGAGAGTATATAGAAGACTATATGCAAAGTTTCATTCAGATAACTTTAAAACTGAGGGACTAGTTTGCGTAGAAACGGACAGACGGACAGACGGACGGACAGACGGACGGACAGACGGACATGGCTAGATCGACTCGGCTATTGATGCTGACTAAGAATATATATACTTTATAGGGTCGGAAACGTCTCCTTCACTGCGTTGCAAACTTCTGACTGAAATTATAATACCCTGCAAGGGTATAAACAGGGGTTATTTTAGGCAAAACAATAGATAAACTTAAAAATATATATATATATAATCCATAAAAAGTAATTATGTAAATCTTAAATCTTTAATGATCTTTAAATGGTTCTTCTTTATATTCTAATTTTTTTCTCAGTGCCTTTATGCTCCCCTCCCTCTTCACTGTTGCTCCCCTTGTGGTCGCCTGCACTGGCCGCCTGTCAATGCGAGAAGTCTTCACTTGACTCCGCGGCTCTGGCTGCGGTTGACATTCGCCACGATGGCTGTCATGCCTATGGCCTCTGCTGGAGTTGGCGTTGGCCTCCAACTCCCCTGTATTTTTTCCCATTGGACACTGGCCGGCTCCTCAGCTATAGCCCTGTGACAAGTGGGGCTTTGATGGCCGACCAAATTCGGACTATAGCATTGGCCAGAAGATGACCGAGCATTGATAGGGATGAGATCGTTTTAGATGGGGTTGAGATATGTAAACAATTTAATAGCTACGAATTTAAAACGATATTAATATCATATATGATATAAAAACCAAAGCAAATTCTTGCGAATTATTAAAACTGGCATGATTGACATCAGCAAACTAATTACACAAAGAAATTCCCCTAAAATCAAATCAAAGTCAGAGCTGATTCTTGATTCAGAACATGCCCAACCCGAATTAGCTGCTCCCCTGAGAGATTGCGGTTGCTCAGGAAACCAGCAGCAGCCCCCTGGCTTTGACAAGAAATATGGAAATTCCATCGCGCGTCATGTCACTTGTGGTTTACATATCAAATTTCCAATGTCTAACCAAAGATATGTGGAATTAAAAAAAAAAAGAGGAGAAAAGCCATACCTTCATCTATATATATAAATTTTCCTTTTGCAGGTCTTATGTTATTTTACCTCTACCTCTGGCATATGTGCATAATTACACTTTTATTAACAGTCAACCGGCAGGAGGGAAGCCAAGTGAAAAACTGCCACCCACAAGGCATACAAACCTCCCCCCGATTTCCACAATTTCTCTTTGTCTACGTGTGCGGACTGCTGAATGCAAACAGGTGAGCTTGCAGCAACAACTGGCATCCTCGCATCCTGCAGAGACTCGCGCACATATCCACACATCCTTACGGCCTTTGGCATCAGCCATCCACGGCACATCCTCAGAGACACTTGAGCTGCACTCGGCTTAAATGAAGTGCACACGCCGCCATGCACATCAAAGCCTGCCGCCATTAGCCCGATGCAGTGAACTAATTAGACACGCCCCCATGCCCCTGGCTCCTCACCTGGGCTGGGAGAACTATTACAAACAGCATTAAATGTTCTTTGAAACTAAAAGAATTTTAAATTCGTCATAATTCGAGGGCAGTTCAAATAAGAAATGTGTGGGGGGAATAATTTTCATATTTGGTCTGTTATAAAATAATTTAATTAGGGATTTTGTGGGAGATAGGCTGCTGGTTTGTAATCTCTAAAATCACGTATCATGATGCAGCATTCCGTGCGGTTAAGATGGTGCGTTAAATGTTATAGACTTAAGATAAGAAATAATTTTAATAAAATGCTCTTTTTGATTATTTAATAATTTTATTCAACATTTCGTACATGGCTTTATAAAATATTCTTAATCTAAGATACTCATTAAAAACAAACTAACCCGAATTGAAAACATCAGTTTTCATATTGTAAAAAAATGCACTCCCTCCCTTCTCCTCATTAAGTCTGCATTAAAACCCATAATTAATATTTATTTGATCAATAATTAGATGAATTTTTTAGCTGATTTCTTGCAGTTGAACTGCAATTATTGTTTATAATTTTCTTCAGCTTAACTTTGTCTTTTAGATGGTACTTTACGAAAGTAGTTATTCAGTCTTTGAATTGAAATATTAATTGAAAAAATAGGATTGTGACAAAGGACAACGAATTTAATATCATAAAAAACCTCAAATAAATTTCAAAAACACACCAAAGTAATTTTAAATATCCTTCCCACTCGCACAAAAAGAAAAGAAACCGAAAACATTAAAAAACTATGTACAATTTATAAGATATACAACTTAAGCAAATAAAAAACCACAAAACTTTTCACAATTATACACAATTGTTAACAAAAAATCACACTTAACACTAAAGGTTATTTCTCAGCATACGTTAAGTTCAGGATGTGTCTTAGTTTGGACTTGGGACTTTAATCCCAAACTTATATATATAATTATAAGTTTCCTAGGGAAATATATATATGTATATATCGTTCTGCTTTACTTTATCGTGATGTCTTTCGTTCGCTTGAGTATAACCGCTGCTGATTCACATACAACTGCAGCGGCGGCACCTGGCCCAGCAAGGGAATCGGCGGTGGGGGAGGAGTCAGATCCAGTGGCGTTGTAGACGCTGACGAAGGGCTGGTGGTGGAGCTCATGCTCGAGGTGCTAGACCTATTAGACAAGGACTGTGCCGAGCGTGTTCTTCTTAGGGACTCTGCTCCCTTGGGTGGCTTGCCGCTGCCCTGCTCACCATAGCTATGAACCCGGCCAACCACCTTGAGGTTAGTCCTGTAGGGTGGATGTTCTTGCGCCGCCTGGCTGTAATAGGATTTCCTCAAAATGCAACAAATGGCCAAAAAGGGTATGGCTAGAATTCCACAAAAACCCAGAGCTATGATTAGCAAAACATCCACGCCTTCGGCTCGCCAAAAGTTTAGGGTATTTGCATGGGATTTAAGGAAATCTGCTCCTCCCGAATCCAGAATCAACTGTATCTTACGCACAGCCTTGTTGGCTGGCCCGGCAGAGTCCTTGCTTATCAATCTCTCATTTAGCTGAACCATTTTCTCCACATAGCTAGTGTTTAGAGTGAGTTGCCTGATCCCATGGAGCAGGGCATCATAGGCTATGACATCATAGTTAACTGTCAGGGAAACACCATGTTGCATCAGTCTCTGGGCCATCACCTCCTGCTCGGCTAGTATGGGTATGGCAAGTATGGGCTTTTGTCCTGCAACCGATTCCCAGACGCTCAATTGCCCGCAGCTACTGATGAACATCTTCACCTGCTGATGGCGCAGTATGGCCTGCTGTGGCCACCAGTCGGCAATCATTACATTCTCGGGGAGGGTTAACTCCGCTGGAAACTCCTCAGTTTCCCATTTTAACAAGAAATGGAACTCGGTGAGGTGACCAAAGACATCAAGCAAGATGGAAAGCTTTTCTGGTGGCAACTGAGCTGTCTGGACATCGGCACCCAGGCTAAAGTAGATAACTCCACTGGTGGCAGTCTCCATGAAGGACACTAAGTGCTGGAAATTAGAAAGATTTTAGAGAGAGTTTATAAATTATATAAAAAAAACTTACATTTGGCAACTGAAGTTCATTCTTAGGGGTTAAATGCAAGCCCCCCACCTCCACCATATTGGGTAAATAGGCCCTGGGATAATGCAAACCCGGATGGGAGTTGATCAAGGCCAAGCTTAGATTCTTGGTCAGATCTCTATACAAAGGCAGCTCCTTAACGAGCAGCTCAAAATGATTAGTATACACCGATTGCTGGGAGATCAGGTGAAAAAAGTTGTAGGTCAGCCGCTCAAAGGTGCTCATCAAAGAGTTTACAATCCTCTGCTTGGTGTTCATCCTCTCCGTGAAGGGCAAAAAGTTGCTAGGATCCAGGGACGAGGACTGGGGATTGCCAAACATATTGTTAAGCCAGGAATTGGCGCCGGTGGGACTGATAGCAACGGTGGGTATGCCATAGTAGAAGGCCAAGCTAAAGGATTATATTGAAAATATTTTAATTATTCAGTTTTAGCTAGATAATCTCCTTAACTCACCCTAGCAGAGCATCGCTCAGAAACAGGTCCACTATGAGTAAATCAAATTTCTCGCCGCTGGTCAGGAGTTTTCTCACCTGACCATCAGACAGCAGGATATCCACATTGGTGGTGCCCGCATAAATCAATCTGGTGAAGCGCTCCATTACGCTCTGGGAGCGCATCTCCTCCGCCTGGAAGCTCATGCCCATGTCCAGCCAGTTCTCACGCAGACCCTCAATCCGCAGCTCCCTGATCCTTGGGATTTCCGCATCTTCCACAGCATGTGGACTGATCAAGGTCACGGAGTGATTTCCGGAACGACTCTCCACCAGTTCCTGCAGCAAGCTCCGCCCGAAAAGATAATGCGATTTCCATACACTGGGAAAAACCGCCAGTATATTGGCACCTAAGGCAAAGCCGCCAAGCAACGAGGCCAGCAATAGCCGCAGGAGATGCATTCTGTATGCAGGAACAAAATCCGCATCCGCATCTACAACTACTGTATCTACATTCGGCGTTTCGTATCTGTGAAGTTTTTGCTTTTCCGGTTTTGCAAAAACACACAAGCTCACACACGCAAACACACACACAGAAGCAAACACGCGTATAAACACGCACACGCACACGTAGAGCAGCCCCTGCTGGGCGTCTATTATTATCTGCTGCCTTTACTTATAGTTATTCCGCCAATTTTCATCATTTTGCGGACTACGAATCAATGGCACAAAATCGCAGGCGATAATTAAACACTCGGATTGGTAAATAATAGCAACGAAAGTGAAAAGAACGGCGAGCAACAACAATGCGGCGCTGTCGGTGTTTCGGGGCGAATGGCAGCTGTTGGGCGCAGGGATGCCAACTTGGCTTTTTACAGGTTTTTTGATGTTTATTTTGTTAATAAATAATTTATATATTTTTGTTATTTTTAGATAATAATAAAAGGAAAATAGGACTTAAAAAATTAAAAAAAAATTGAAACAAAACCTAATAAAAAATTAAACAATAAAAGCTTTAGCAAAATGTAGTGGCGGTAGATCATGAGTTAAAAACGCAATTGAATAGTTTATAATTTGTTTCTAGTAGTTATTAAGCTCTGTATTTTTAAAGCTTATCGTTGCCTCTTTAAAATTTAATTGCTATATTATTTAACAGCCACTTTAATTAGAACTAATAACTTGCTCCGTGCTGTGCTCTGTGGCTCTCCGGTATTTTTCTGCTCTCTGACTAACGGTCACACTCTCCCATCTCGCTGGTAAACAATTTGAAAATTTGCATTTTACTTTAGTTGCTAAATCATCCGCGCAAATTGTTCAACAAAAGAAGTGCTAAATTGAATAATTGCAGGGGCTGCCAGCGGATGAGCCAAATAAAATAATAAAATAAAGCACAACATAAGAACAGAACAGACGACAAACAAACCGATTTTGCAATTTGGCACACAGCCAAAAGAGCAAAGAACGAAAAAACATTAAAACAAGAACAAAAGGTGAAATATTTAACCGCAAGAAATACACGGTGAGAAAGTGAAAAGAACAGCTGGGCCGGTCTCAGGTGTTGCGCGTTGGCAATTGAATTAGTTTTTTATGTTAACGCGGCCCTAAGTACACACAGATACAAATAAAGATACTAACAAAAACAACAACAATCTGTGGATAAACCGGCAACAACAGCTGAAATTATAGCCAGTAGACGAAACGGGCTTACGTAAGCCACTTGCAATTACAAACGTTTAAACAAAATCAAAAAAGCAAGAGTCCGAAAATGGCACAGGTATCCAGTGAGTATTTTGTTTTTACCTGTTTCCTTAATTAATTCCAATTAAACTTGCAAATAGGCAACGTTTCGAAATAAATTTAAAACTCTTTGGAAGTTTTTTTTATATTTAAAATTTTTTGTTTCGTTTTATATCCAAAATTTATTCTCATAACTTTTTAAGTTGATTTTTTTTATTAAATTACTTCTGTAAATATATTTTAATTTTATAAACTAACCAAAAAATATACACTTTTTCGGTTGTTTATTTGGTTTTTGTATTATTTATCAATAATTTATTCTCAAAATTTTTAAATTATTTAAATTGATTTATTAAATTACAACTGTTAATAAATTTAAATTTGTTTAATTTTCGGTCGAAATATTAAATTTTACATATTTTTGTAACCGCTTTTATGTTAAAATATCACTTTTTATAGCATACTTTAAGAGAACTTGACTTTTTAGGATAGACGCTATCTTTGAAAATAATTTTTTTAATAAGAAAACAAACAATTTTTAAGCCTATCAATTAAAAAAATTAAAATAAAATCTTATACGCCATATAAATTGTAACAATGTAAACATTTAAAAATAAATTTAATTATACAAATAATATTAATACCTTATTTTTTAAATATTTTGTCATTACTCCCAAAGTTTTATGTTAAAAAAATATGTATTATAAAATAAATAAACAATTTCTACCCCTTCTTTGTAGCCCTCATCGATGTGGACAAGCCACTCTTCGATCTCAGCAGCTTTGCTGGTCGCTTCCAGTACTTCGCCTGGATGACGGATCCGCGAACCGTGCTGGTCTCCAGCGATCGCCTGCTGGAAGCCAAGACCATGATCGAAAAGTACCGAAAGGGCGAACAATCGCCGCTGGTTAAACCGGAAGAAGTTCATTACAACATGAAGCTATATAATTCGGCCTTTCATCCGGATACCGGCGAACTGCAGAATTTCTGCGGACGCATGAGCTTTCAGGCAAGTCTCGTGATGGTTTTTGCGGCACGTGGGCTGATCCCTAAAATAGAGACGAAGACGTTGTGAATGAATGGGTTGCCAAAAAAAAATAGAGAGAAAAAATAGAAAACAAAAATAAATAAGAGAAAAACATAGAGGCACGAATTTAACACTAGACTACAAGGTATTTCATCAGCATCACCTGAAAAATTATCTTTTGAAATTATAAAAAAGTTTATGGGAGGTTTAGGTAAGATAAGTGGAGGCTTTATGAAGGTTACAATAGTTTACAGGGTTTATAAGGGATATAAAAACTTAACAGAAGATGAAATTAACAACACAAACTATTGTTAGAAATTTTAAATAATTATTTTAAGACTTAAAAGAAAGAAAAGTATTATTTGTAAACTAATTACTAAGCTAATATTATATTTTATTATACTTTACCTCTCTTTCTGCCAACAGTTTTGTTAATTAATGATTATTCTTCACTAATCGTTTTCCAATTTTCAGGTCCCCGGTGGCATGTTGATCACCGGCGGCATGCTGGCCTTCTACAGAACCGTTCCAGCCGTAGTGCTCTGGCAATTCATCAATCAATCCTTCAATGCCGTGGTCAACTATACGAATCGCAATGCCAATTCACCCACCAGCGTTACGCAGCTGGGCGTGGCCTATGTTTCGGCCACAACGTCCGCTTTAATAGCCGCCATTGGATGCAAGAACTATTGGTCCAAGAAGGCTAGTCCATTGTTCCAAAGATTTGTACCCTTTGCTGCTGTGGCGGCCGCCAATTTTGTCAACATTCCGCTGATGCGACAAAATGAGATACTCAATGGCATAGAAGTGAAAAATATGGATGGAGAGATTGTGGGACAGAGTAGATTGGCTGCCATTAAGGGTATAGGAGAGGTGATTGTATCCAGGATTGCGATGGCTGCTCCTGGAATGCTAATACTGCCGCTGATCATGGAAAGACTGGAGAAACTGCCCGCCTACAGGCGCATCAAATGGATAAATGCCCCCTTCCAGACCCTGATGGTTGGCTGCTTGTAAGTAGAGTCAGTCAAACACCTTTTGTGATTGTTAATTTATATATTTAAATACTTTTTAGCCTCTGCTTTATGGTGCCCACGGCCTGCGCTGTATTCCCTCAGCAATGCTCTCTGGATACATCCACCATGCGCACCTTTGAACCGGAACTTTATGAGAAAATGGAGAAGAACACAAGAGGCAATGTGCCCCAGCGAGTATATTTCAACAAGGGTCTGTAAGAACTCGGGTTTGCGGGGCAGGACAATAATCTGTTTAGTCGTCGTCGTGTTTGTTTTGTAGAGCATTTATGGTATCCAAATCGCGCAATATTTGGCAGTCGTTGTTCCTTTGTCTTTTGTGTCAATTGTCGTAGTTAAACTAAGCTGAAAAGAATCTCAAATCTATGGAAAATGTTAATGTTCTAGCCGTGTTTCAGGTTTTAAGAAGGGTTTTTAAAAATTTAATTCATATTTAAAGTCTTTAAATAAGTTAAAAGTGAAATATTTTTAGGAAAAATTTAAAGCTGGAAATATATAGTCTTGCAATGCTTATTAATTTAAGAAATTATTCAAATTATTCTTTAACAAAATTAAAGATATATCACCCAATTGTTCCTATGGCAGCTATATAATATTAATGGAAGCTTTACCACTATCCCAAAATTTCTTTTTACTAAAGTTTCCAGCAGCTATTTATTGCTTCTATAAAAAAATATTTCCTGTTTAAATTAAGTTAAAAAAAATTTTTAATTAATTACATTTTTTAAATATAAAAAAATGAGAAAAAAAACTAATTAAAATTTTTAAAATCTTAAATTTAAATTTAGGCAATTTTTTAAATAAATCAAAAAATTATTAAAATTTTTAAAAATAAAAAATTGAGAAAAAAAATATTTTAAATTTTCATCGTCAACATATTTTTAGCTTCTATTTCCTGTTTGAATTAATTTAAATTTTTTAATTTATAACAAATGTTTAAATTGATAACAAATTGTTAAATTAATAACAAATGTTAGTTCTCTGAAAGTAACACCTGAAACATGTGCTAATTGTTAAAATATTTAGCCAATTAACTTGTCATGTACTTAATGGGTATTATTTTTGTAAATGTCCTAAAATGTGTTCAAAAATGTTAATATTTCGAAATAGTTACGGTGAAGGTATTAAAAACAAAGATTATAATCGGTTTAAAAAAATGTTTACTCGGCTAATTAACTGAAACTGAAACTGATTTTTAATCAGAAAATTATTAAGAATGCCCAAAGATATAATATAGGTTTCTAAGCCTCAAAGATCAAGATCAAGCAGTAAAAATGCTTTTTGCAACATTATTTATATCACTAACTGGCTCATGTTTCTTTAGTTGTTAGCTCTTTAGAGTACTCACATGTCGGTAATAAATGTTTTAAAAAAAAGAAAATACCTTTGTTTACGGGTTTTAAAAACGGTTTTATTAGTTATGTATGTTCTGGTATCCTGTATAGGTATATATAGTATATATGTATATATATCATTATACATAACGTTTTTGCGGGGCTTTCGTTTATTTAGATATTTTCGGTTTTTCATTTTCATCGTGTTGTAAAGTTTACAAAATGTGCAAAACACAACTAGGTAGCTATAGAATATTCCATTTTCGTCCTTTTCAACGTTGTCACACTTCTCCATTTTTATTGTTTGGTTGAAGCTGCAAGGTGCTCGCGCCAATAAATCATTTTTCTTTGGACTTTTTCGGTTTGTTCAAGGTACAATTTAGATTTTCGTTAAATGTATGTAGTTTTAGGTATTGTTTTTATTTATTCTTTTTTTACTTTGCTTTTGTTGGCACTGGCGCTTAAAAATTCTTATTATTCTCGTGTGCTAAAACATTGATGGGGAAAAATTCAACACTCAGATGTTACAATGTATGTAAAAATTGTTGCTTGAAAAAACGAGAAACACAAATTTTAACAAATATAGACAATAATTTTCGTTTCGCTTGTAAAAATTGGTTGTTCTTTGTGGCCTTTGTTTTTTGTGTGCTGCTTTTTAAGTATTGGAATTTGTCACATGGATCATCAGCAAAAATTTATTTATTTATATTTTTTAATACATTTTCCATTTACCTTAATTTATCGAATATTAAGTGGCAAAACTTTCGATACACAATTATTTACTTGGGGTGGCATTTTGAGTATTTTTTTTATGCCGCTTCAAAAGTTAGTAATTGTAATGTGTGTATTCATATATTTTATTTTATACTGACTGAGGCTTTTTCAACATTATTAAATTGGCATTTTGTAACTTGCTTAATGCTTAAGATTCTTCGTATTCTTCGTTTTTTTTTTATTTGGTTTCTGGCGCTTAGCTGGGAAAGCTCGTTCAAAATCGTAGGGGTTTTCCTCATGCAAAAAATCTTATTGGCTAAACAAGCTTCCTTTTTGAACAGGAACTTCAATCCGTATTTTAGCTGCCTAATCAGAAATTTATATCCATTCATTTTCCACAAAAATAAGAAAAATTCCAGCGAAAATCGGGAGAACCCCACGGAATCAGCATTTCCATATCGCAATCCTCGTTATTTCCTGAGCTTTAAAATTTAGAATATTCTGACCATAAAACCACTTACCACACATATTGGGCATTATCTTTGCCATATTTTCCCATCTCTTTACCAAAATCGAATCAGTCAAGCTTTAGCTGGAAGCAAATCCTAGCCTTCGGCCCAAGAACTCGTCTTTGGCCCTCATTAAAAATCCAACTAAACCATCTTTGCTTGTTTGCTTTCTGCCTTTAACTCGGGGATTTTCCTCTACATTTATATAAATATTATTTTTTTATATTGCGCACAGCCTTATTTTTTCCAAAAAGTTTCTGGGTTTTTATATTAGTTTTTTGTGTGTTTTTCATATATAAACCATTTATTTTTCAGAGTTTGCTTTCAGTTTGTTTTTTATTTATATTTTTTTGTTGTTAAACTTCACCTGATAAATTTTGTACCAACATTGCCCCACTGGAAAACAGCTGACATACAACTTTATTTATTTTTTTATATCCATTAAATAACAAATTATCCCTTTATACTTTGCCCTTTCGTTCCATTTTCCTGTCCTTTTCCAGCATCTTTAACATTTTTATTTGGTAGAAAATATGTTCCATCATAAAATCTTTTTACTTTTACCTCTATTTGTGGTTCTTTTCTGGCCAAGACCGCCCTTTTTAAAAACCATAAAAAAGTTGTTTGCATGGAGTTTGGGTTTCATTTCCTTATTCCTTTTTTTTTTGTGTTGTGCAAAATGTTTGTATTTTATTTTCTTTTTGTTTTAGTTTTTCGTTTTTCATTTTTCAATTTTAAAAATTCTTCGATATTCGGTTTTTAGTTTCGCTTTTACACTTAAATATGACTTGGCATTCAGTAGTTGTATTTTATATAAAGGGGATTCTTGGGGACTTCCGCTTTTCCTAACAAGTTTTACATTTATAAACGTTTCTTTTTTTCGAGTTGTTTAGTAAAAATTACAACTAAAAATAAAACTATATATGTATTGTGTGTGTTGTGTTTTTATGCCTGTTGAAAGTTTTCAATTATTTTTATTTTTTCTCTCGGCTTTCATATATATTTATATTCTCTTGACTTGGCTTACGAGTTAAATACATACAAACATGTACATTGTGGTGTATATATATATAAATATATTTTATATATTTGTTTAGTTTCTGGTTTTCTTGTAGTTGCAGTTTGTAGTGTGGATAACATTGGATTTTGTTTGCATTATTAGACCTTAAAATCGTACGTAAACATTAAATTATTTATTATGTATTAATTAATATATTTTTATCTTCAAACTCGACGTATTCCAAGTTTGAAGCGGCTCATATGTATGGGTTTTTTGGGGTTTTTTTGTGGGAAAAAGCTTTGTTGCTATTTAGACCGCCGTCTCGTCACCATCCTCCTCCTCCTCGGCCATCTCCTGATCCCGATGCTGCTGCTGCACTACCTCAACCACGGAAACCGCCTCCGCCGTTGTCGTTGTCGATGTGGATGAACTGGTGGTGCTGGCCGGCGACATATTATCCGGATTAACGGCCAGGGAGATTGGCGGCGGTGATGTGGCCACGGCTGCTGCCACCAGCATCTCTTGACTTGGCGGCAGCACAAAACTCTTCCCGCCCAGCTGATCTCATTTAAGACCCGTGTCCGAGGACGGTGTCCAGCGATCGAACTCGATTCCCGAGTCGGGCGACACACCCGTAGCCTTGGCCAAGTGGGCGGCCATAAAGCCACCGGTTTGCATGCATTTGCAGTCCTGCGCAATGCAATTGCAAGAGAACTTGGAGCCGCGGCCGCAGCGCGAAGCCACCACACTGGGATTCGCGGTGAGCACATTCGAAACGGAGCAAGCAGGTGATGATGACGAACCCAGGCCCATGCCCAGGCCCAGGCCCTGGCCAACGACACTGGTGCTCATCAGCACACCGGACTCGTCCATTGCCTGTCCATCGCCGGGACTCAATCGCAGTTGGCTCTCGAAGGACTGCAGCTGCTGCATAAAATGGAAGTTGGGCGATACATCCGGTTTCCGGTCGCGAACCATCATGAAGGCGTCGTTGAGACTCAGTCCCCGGGTGTGCATCAAGTAGGCGAGCGTCACGGTTACCGAGCGCGACACCCCGGCCAGGCAGTGGACCAGCACCGCCGAGTTCGCGGACCGCGCTTCCTCTGTGAATTTTGGAATAGAAAAAGGTATAACGTTAGAGATTTTATCTGATAAAATGACATTATGTTATGATGTCATAGAGCTAATGCATCATATTCTGTCACTCGAGAGAGTCATCACAGAAAAACAATACAACAGTAATGTTTATTATGGTTGCAAAGTCAGAACCCCTATTAAAGATATGAAAGCTTTGTATTTTTAAATAACAATTAAATAAATTTAAAAAATAAATTTTTAAATTAATTTATAAATACATTTTTAAATAAAATAAAATATAAAAATAATTTGATTTCTAAGTTCGCTAGAGAGAAATATTTGAAATCAATTGAAAGGGTGTCGAAAAGTATGCAATAAAATAATAATAGAAGGAGAAGGCCGATATAAAATATCGACCAAAATATATCGAAATTTTAAATATTTTAAAATCTTGAATTTATCGTTAAAATCGCGATATTATCGAAAATATATTTAAAAAATTGTATTTAATGTATTTGTATTATTTTTATATATTGGTCTGATTTATTAAAAAAAGAAATTATTGACTTATCGCGCATATCGGACTAAATATCGATACAATATCGATAAATATATGTTCTTTGCCGAACCTAATCCAAACTCATTGAAAAATTGACGATATTTGTAAAGAATTAAATATTTTGGCAAACTTTTGGTCAAAATTTTCATTTAAATCTATTCGAAACCTATTTTTGTAGCAACCCTGTAAAGGTTTTACCAAATTCAAACTCCACTTACCTATAAACTGTATGGCATCTGGGAAATGCATGGCCAAATCCTGTGAATAATGATCGGTAATTGGAATTTGCAGATACTTGATAATGCCCAATTTCTCGAACTCATTTGGCAAATCCGGTGTCACATTCAGCACGTACTAGAAAAAGCATGAAAACCGAAATTTGTTAATATTTATTTATTTAAAGAGAGATTTTCTTGACTCACCTTAATGTTGTACCTTTGCAATGCATTCGAGTCGCAGCTGTGCGAGGCATTTCCCAGGAACAAAAGTCCTGGAATTATCTCCACGGGCGCCTCATTGAAATTGTGGTGATGATGGTGATGATGATGATGGTGCCCGGTGCTCTCACAGTCCGATGATTCGGCCGAACTGCTGCACGCGGAATCGGAATGCGGTGTGGAAATGCGTAGGGATCTGTAGGATGGAAAACAGGATTATATAAATATTTGCAAAGGCATTTCAGTAGGTATACAAATAACTTACCTAAGACCCATTAACTGATCGGTCTGTACATTGCGACTAGATTCCATTTCTTTGTTGTGCGCCTGGCTATCATCCTCGCACCATTCCGGAAACGCTTGGCGAAAACTGGAGAAGCCATCTGAAAGATATGCAAAGAGAGAGTGGTGGAAACTTTAGAATGCTTTTTGAACTATGCGCATAGCTACACTTTTGGACGACGCTCTGTGTGTCATTTGAGGAGAGGCAGCCTCTGGAATTTGACGTTCGTTATGCTCGGCCAAGTGTAGCCCTTTTTGCTTTTGGGTCTTTCGCGTCGCGTCTTTGGTAACACGACATGGCTATGCCGCTACTGCCTGCTATTAGCCCAAACCCCAACCAAGTATGCGTGAAAATTCTTGCTAGCGAATCTCATTCATAAAAAAAAGGGTTCAAGAGGAAGTGGAGTGCAGAGTGAGATCTTCTTTTCTTCAATTGGAAACGGAAGTGCGACTTGGCGTATCAACGGAAATGCTGTTTCTATATTTATAAGCTTGAGAATGGTATGGAAATTGTCATCAAAAAAACGCAAACAGTAAACTGCTATTGCTGCTGCTGCTCATCAGCATAACGCAAAACGGAAGCTTACAATTTTCTACTTGAAGCACAATAAATTCCCAACAAAACAAATAAAAAACAAAGAGCATAAAGCAAATTGAAATAAAGCAGAAAAGTTCAGTGTTATCAACAAAACTTATTGACCAGCCGGCCGGCCAACGGGTGGTATACGCACTAAACTCCTTCACTCTCAATCTCTGTGCACTTCCAGCTGAACTTTATAAATAAACCAAGATACGGCCAAGGGATTGAGAAGGGGTCTTTGCTATTTTTGCAACCACTGACGGAGGAAAAAGCAGCCATGGCCATGGATATCAATCCGCACAGAGTATGACATGGCAAACTGCATTTGATAGCAATTTCCTCCTCAAACAAACTCAGTTCGACTTTGAGCTCCATCGAATGGTTCGGAAAAAGAATGGAATAAAAAAAAAAATGAAATGAAATATGTACATAGATGCAAATAAACTTTGGTTAGGGTGGCAAAACACATACAAACAAACGTAACTCGGAAACGCGCTAGCTAAGCTCTTTTAATGGAAAATGTTTTTGTCAGGGAGAAAATAATTTAAGCAAGGTTATTTCACGGTTTTTGCAAAATATCAGTTTCAGGTTTTAAATGAAGAATGTCACATTATTTCTATATATTATGGGTTATGAGATAATATAGTAAATTTATTTATTTTTTTACATTTTCAAATCGATAAATCATTTCTCTATGAATTTCAGCAAAAAATATAAATGATACCCTTTCGATAGCACATTTAAAATCGATACTTATGGCATATTCATTGGTGCGATAATAAAATAACTTAATTAATCGTTTACATTTTAAAATCGATTTACCTTTTCGATAATAGATTTTTTATTGCTTATTTTTTTGGGTGTCATAATAAATGTATTTTGTTAATCGTTTACATTTTAAAATAGATTAATTATTTTTTTTTATAACTTCAACGAAAACGATAATATATTGAGCTATAAAATTGCTATTGATACATTAATTATTTATAGTTTTTTAAGTTTAAAAAAATGTTTCAAAAGAATTATGAAGTTAACTCACACTTAGCTTTAACTATTTATCTGTTATTGAGTGTCTAAAAAATATAACATAAAATATATAATGAAATAACTATACAGATTTACTAAAACTGCAACTTTTTTACTTGATGACTCTTTAGAAATAAATAGAATATTTTCCTCAAAATTAACTATCCAAAATCCAACAAATCTCTAAATCTCTCTCCCATTTAAAATGCTTAACCTCCTCCTACAAGCTTTTAGATACAATTCAGAGCCCTCTTTTCTACAGGTAACTTTCCCTACTATAAACTCAAGCCATCATATAGTTATTCACAATTTGTATCTGCCCATATGGCCATATCGTTTTGTATTCCCCCACCTAATCACACAAATATACCTGTGCTAGTGTGCGAGTATCTATATCTTTATAGTTTTTTTTTCGTTTATTTTTTTTTATACTTTTTTGTCACGTTCTGTGTCACACTTGTGAGTGCTTTTGTGTTTAGATTGTTTCATTGATGAGTTCACACAAAACAAAGACGAAAAACAAAAACAAAAACCACAAAAGCAATCGTGAATAACAGTGGAAACGACCTTCAAAACGTTGAAAATGTAAACTTGAAAAAAAGCGCGTCAACAAATTGCTGTTGAAACTGAACAAAGCGTAAACTAAATACGAGCAAGCAATAAAAACAAAAAATACGGTTCAGTTTGAGTGTATTTTCATATTTATTAGAAAACCGGATTTTGGCAACATCCAAACACCCACAACCACACCTGGGGAGGAATATAAACCACTGAGCCACAGCCACCAAAACCCACTAAAAAATCCACTCAACCAAGTCGCCCCCACAATGCCACAAATTTGTTGCTAATATTTTGTATTAATTATTTATAAAAAAAATGAACATCAAAAGTTGGGGAGTTGAACTTTCGAACGATTTGTTTCGCTCATTCATGGGTTTTTGGGAATAAATAATTTGTTATTTTAGGTTACTTTACCCCCATTAATCTCGCCCCCATATTATTATTATTAATTATGTAGTTTTATTTAGCTTTATAATCTTTTAATTCAATCATCACAGCTTGTAATTCCTTTTATTTGTTGATCATCAAACAGCTCAAGTGTTTTAGAGTTGTACTTTTTTTTTAGAACAAATTATTTTGCTCATTCATTGTTATTTTTTTATTTGTTTGCTTTTAATTATAGTATACATAACGCTGTTTTTTTCTACTTTTTTTCTGCTTATCTGGCACTCGCTGGTTTTTTGTTTATCTGCGTGTGTAAATATAAAAAATAACAGCGACCGTAAAAAAAAAAGAAGACAAAACGTGAGTTAAATATCTCTTAGCTAGGTCTCCACCAGGTTTGCCGCAGAGATACGGCGAACGCACACCCACAATCGCAGCTCTATTCATTCACAGGTACCACTTCACGGGTGCTCGCCCCCCTTTACCCTTTTTTTTTATATACTTTTTATTTATTTATTTACTTTTTTTTTGCTCCCAACGGATATGACGTAGGCCAGTTTTCCTATGATTTTTTTCTCTCTCTATTTTGCCGCATGAAAACAGTTAGAGAAGTGTTTTTCGCGGTGAGGGGGGGTAGCCCTTATATGGTTTGACATTCTGTGGGCGTATAGTGTGTGTCTGCCGCCTTGTTTAATTCATTTGCGGTTTCAGATGACGCAGATCCCTTAAGTGGAACCAGCGCTGTGCTGTGGATGCAGAACCCGATATGCCGCCGGAGTGCCAGCGGATCGCGGGACACGTACATCGGACGTACATCCATTGATGGATTCCATGGAGACCGGCCGAAACCAAACCGGAAGTGGAACGAACGAACGAACGAGCGAACGAACACATGCATGCAGCGGAACACGACACATTGCGCCCATTTTCCAGTTTCCTCCCCCCCAAAAACATACATATATCTATTTATATGGTTTTGTTTACACTGGCGATTTCGAAAGTTTTCCAAGGAAAATTGTTTTTTAAATTTTGAAAAGAGTCTAAAAGAAACATTACACAATTTGTTAGATTTTTAACTCCTTAAAAATATTATAAAAATATTTTTAGAAGGCTTATAAGTCTCCTGAATTTAGTTTTTAATATTTTAACCTAGTTTAAATTTGTATTCTTCCTAAAATTCCCCATAATTCTATATAGTGCACATCAGTTAGCCCGAAAAATTCCCACATATTTATTTTTTTAAAGCTTAAAATGCCTTTTACTTTTTTTTCAATTCCTTTTTTGGAATTTTCAAGCTATTTGATTTTACATTTTTTGTACACATTATAGCCATGCCTTTACCAAATCCACACCAAATGCCTTTTTAATCACTCGACGCCCATAAATTCTTTAGCCGCATTCCAGGCAACCGTAGCTGCTAGAGTTTAGCAGATTGTTTGTCGTAGGGATTTGGAGTCGGAAAGGGGTGTGTTTAGAGTTTTGAAGTTAAGGAAATCGATATTACGCATACGCAATGTGCGCCGTGTTTACGGGTGCCTTTCTGGTCTGGCAAATGCATTCAGCCGGTCGTTGCACAATACCCAGATACTCTCGGATACTCGAATACCCAGATACTTGTACACTGGGCACTATAGATACATATACCTATATATATATATATGACTATATGTGTATACAAAACGCATGAGGTGTTGTATCGGAATGGGGAGTGCTGCCGCTGGGCATGAATGAATGAAAAAACCAGACCACGAGACAACGACATCGCCTGCCGCCGCCTGCAGTTCAATGCTATTTGTCAATGAGTCAGTAGTCCCTCCGCCGCCAGTTGTCTTATTTCGATTTGAGCTGGAACCGACGGGGGAACACTGAACGACGCGTCGTCGAACGAGGAAGAGTCGTAAAACACATCGACATAATGCGAGTCGCATTTGGGGCCCCCATCATATCCATTAGTCGTATGCATATAGAGCATTTAGTATCTCTCAACCATTGATGTGGGCGTGGGTGCGTGTGTTGTGTGTGAGTGTGTGTGTTGTTTCCCCAACCCAATGTGGCCCCAATTTTGTTTACATTTTTCTCTCCACCCCAAAAAAAAAGTTGTATTTTTTATGGGCCTTTCACTGAGGGAAATATTAAAGTTTTAAAATCATGAATACAATTTTAGAGATTTTTAACGTAGCTTTAACTTTGTTGTTAAAGTATTTCTTGAAATATGTTAGTAACTTTTTAAAAGGAAGTTAAAATATAAAAGGTTAATGAATTAAGTTTGTGTTATTTAATCTATTCCAAAATATTTTTTCATATAATAAAGATCTTTAAAAGTAAGTTACCTTTTTAAACCCCTTAAAAAAATATGTATAAAAAGGACAACATTTTTTCTTTTCAGGAGGGAAATTTTTTCATTTGCTTCCAGCTTGGCATAAACAAAATGCAGTAGAAAAATGTGGCGGTGGAAAAAAAACAGCCAAGAGGAAAACTTGAGGAAAATATTAATGTCTGCCACTTCCGTCTGCGTTTATTTCGAAGAAGGAAATGTGGCTTTTCCGAGCA